AACAATTTCTCCAATTTTTATGTTAAATTCAATATATTATCCATGTATTTAGTTCCTAACAACCTGGAATCACTTACCTTATATTAGATGATGAAAATAACTCTTCAATAACACCCCAAAGTGCCTTGCAATCAGATAAATGAGATAAAATGAGCTAAGTACCAAACTTCTAACTAATAAATCTGCCCAGGCACTGCTCTTTGCGATCACAACAGAGCTCCCGTGATCGCGATGACCAAATATGACCAGCCTCGCGAACGCGAAGGCTAAATTCTTCCCAACCAGTTCCGTCTCCTCGCGAATGTGATAGCTCCCATGCTAGCGCAAAGGCCGGCCACAGTTTGCCTTTACCTCTATGCTAAAGCGGTCGACCCTAAGCGAACACGATGCTTCTGGTCCCCAACACTACGCGAACACAATATATTACCTGTGAACGTGAAGAACAACTACCAACAGGACAAAATTCATCATCGCGATCGCGAGACACCCATTGCGAATGGGAAGAACACGAGACACTAACATATCAACCAATTCCAAACATGCTTCGGGTGGTCTGAAACTCCCGAGCCACCTGAGACCCCGTCCAATCACTCTCCGAAGTCTATAAACACAATACAGACTTACTCGAGGTTTCAAAACTCATAAAATAAAATCACAACTAAGCATTGTCTGCCCAACCAAACTAATCAACTCTCCAAACTTCCAACTTCTTTTAACAAATACCGAACATGACGAATCATACTCAGACAACTCGGAATGGAACCAAATTTCACATATAATTACAATATAACAACATGAACCTGTCCCAAGGCTCTAATACCAAACAGGATCCAATATCACCAAAGTCCACTCCAAGTCAAACTTAGCCAATTCTAAAACCTTTAAAATGCCAGCTTTCAGCAATTACCCTCAAAATCATTTAGGAAGCTCAGAAAGAAAATCCAGACATACATCCAAGCCCAAAATTACCATCTGGTCTATCAGAACCATCAAAACTTTGATCAGAGGTCATTTACAAAAAAGTCAAATTTGGTCAACTCTTCTAACTTAAAGCTTCCGAACTGAGAATCACTCTTCCAAATCAATCCTGAACCTCTTAAATATCAAAACCAACCATACATGCAAGTCATAATACATTATTTGAAGCTACTCAAGGTCATAATGCTAAATCTCAAAATGACTGGACTGTTTGTTACCTTCTCCCTCACTTAAAGATATGTTCATCCTAGAATGTGCCAAGAGTCATTCTAAAGCCGTCAAATACCTGAGCTCATTATACACACATACCCATAACACCTCAATCCATATAAGTCCATTACATGATCTCGACCAAAGATTCTCCCTTCAACCTTATTCACAAGACTTAGAAACCAAATTTCAACATTTAGAATTCTCTATAAGATCTGATTTGTGTTTATATACACTATATCAATCCATACAAGATGCATCATGCCATAAATTCATTCCCTAGACATAACCGCACGATGTGCTTCATAAATCATATGCCCAAAAACGTATCTTCTGCCTGCAATAACTACTAATGATGAAAATAAATGTGTAGAAACTCATAACCACCTATCTAAAATCACAAGTTATGGAGTTCTCTCACCTAGCAAGAACAATTGACAAATTTCAAACTGACTAATGGCAGTCTTATTCCAAATATACCTTATACAAATCCGATTGCACAAATTCCAGGTCTAATAACCTCGTCTCATCCAGTACAAGCTACTTGATCGACATGCCACATCAAATATTATCTAGAGCCTCATATGACGTGATCCTGATGGTAAGCTAGAAACCTGTATTTTAGTCGTAGTATTGCACTCTAATTATTGCATTTTATGTGTGTTTGAGATCAAATGATAGTGAATTACACCTATTACATGTTTTATGCCTTGCAAGAAATGATCCCGAGCTATTAAGGTAATTTGGAGATAAATCGAACAAGTTGGAGCTTTGAAGTCTGAGTAGAAGCCCAAGAAATTAAGTCGGAATCACATTCAGGGGTCGAGCACCAAGTCTTGATGTTAAAAAATGGATGAAAGAATTTACTCTGAGAAAAAGACACAGATGCGCCGCATGGGGCGCTGCGAGGCGAGGCATGGCAGTGCAAATTTTGTCTGACAGGCTTTTTGCAAGCTCTCTGGATTTCCTCACAAGCGCGCCGCATGGCGCGGCGTGGCGCGCTGCACGGGTGTACAAAATTGTCAGAGTGATTTCCTTGTTCGGCTAGGAAAGGGTAGTTTCGTCCGGGCTTATTTCTACATGATATAAATACACCAAAAACACGATTTTTAGAGGACTTTTGACCTACGAAAGATTGGAGAAGAAACAAAGGCAAGAAGACACAATAATTCATCAAGATTTCAACCTACAATCGGTTCAATACGGGTGTTTGTATCGAATCATTAGTATTGATGTTTTCTTTGCTTTTGAACCTTATTGAGATTACTTATTCCATAGTTATGGAGTAAATTCTATTAGGATGTTGACAGATACGGTGTTTTGATAACTTGATTAGGGATTCGATTCTTGATAATTGTTAGAATTAATTGATGGAGTTTTAATTAGTATTGTGGGGTTATTTCTTATTCCGCTTAATCGAAAAAGGAGCATTATATTGAATTGCTTTACATCTTATGCTCTAGTTTAAATTCGTGATTCAAATGGGTAATCGAAAGAGCCTCTTGAATTGTTAATCGGACTAAAAAATAGGGAAATATTCGTGAAAAGTTACCCTTTAGATCATAACCATCATTTTATTGTTGCAATTGTTTACCGTTCTTCAATTGGAATAATTACTAAAATTAACGTTTAATCGAAAGAGGAACATTAACTTCAAGCGTAATCTGATTATCTGTTGAATTCGTGAGAATCAATAGTATTATAGAGTGAATTAACTCAAGAATTGGATCCCGAGTCAATTATCTTGCACCTATCTAGTCAAATACCCATATTTCTCTCATTGATATTTCTCCGTTGCTCATCTGCTCTCTTTTGTGATAAACTGTTATTTGCTTAATATTTAGTAGTTAATCATAGTAATAGTCATCAAATCAAGTGTTAATTTTCCTGGATAGTAATCAACTGAAGATTATTCGAACACTGTTTAAATCCAATGCCTGTGGAGACGATAATTAAACTATACTATCTTTGACTAGCGACCAATAATTTTGTGTTGTGTTTGCGCTGGTCAAATTTACGCGCCATTGTTTTTAGTACTAATTCAGGAACCAATTTTTACTTTAGTGTATTCATGTTTTCTCACTTGTGTGCAGGCTATAGGTTTGATTTCTCTGGTGTATGACTCGATCTTCTTCAAAGGATGTGATACCCTATGAACCAGAGTTGGAGAAATACATGCGACAACTAAGAAAATAAAGAGAATTAATAGAAAATTTTTGGGGTCATACTTCAACTCGAGAGAACATGGGAAACAAAGAGAATAATGGAGTAGACTTAACTGCAAGAGAGGCAGCACAACAAGAAGCTGCACAAATAGCAGCAGAAGAAGCCTGGAGAATTTCCGACGAGACTGTAAAAAATAATGGGGGTCGAAGATTCAATCTAAATCGACCCTTGGTTGAAGACCAGTTTGAGAATGCAGCACCCAGGCCTGGAAGATCATTGGGTGACTATGCCAGACAAGTCTACAATCAAGGGCTGTCAAGTATCAGACCTCCACCCATAGCAGCAAACAATTTCGAGTTGAAGCAAGGCTTGCTTCAAACCATCCAAAACAACTGCATCTTCAGAGGGAAGGTGAATGAAGATCCAAGCACTTACTTGATGGACTTTGAAGAAATCGTGAACACCTTCCAGTACAATGGAGTATCAAAAGAGGCGGTATACTTGAGGGCATTCTCCTTTTCATTGAAAGATGATGCAAAGCACTGGCTTCGTAGCTTACCCACAGGGTCGATCAGGACATGGGAAGAGATGACCAAAAGGTTTCTTGACAAGTACTTCTCAATTGCAAAAACAGGGAAAATCAAAAGGGAAACCCACAATTTCTGCCAGAAGGAGACAAAAATGGTTTTCGAAGCTTGGGAAAGATTCAAGGAGATAGTCAGAAAGTGACAGCACAATGGAATTGATTTGTGGATGCAACTCCGGGATATTTGGGATGGATAGACACCTTCCTCGCGACGAACTCTAAATACTGCATGTGGAGGTCCACTAATGAAGAAAACTCCGAAAGAGGTTGTCTTAATCCTTGATGAATTATCTGATGATGCTAACTAGTAGCCTGCTGAGAGTAATGATAGAAGAAAATCAGTTGGGGTTCACCAGGTGGACTCTAACACATCCATGCAAGCCCAGCTAGACACTATGGCCAAGGAGAAAAGAAAGCTGACATTGGTCAAGGTGCAGAGTGGGCCACAAGCAGCATGTGACTTTTGTGGAATGGGACACCATACACATGAGTGTCAAGCATCAGCTGAGGAAGTCAACGCTGTGGGGAACTTTAATAAAGGAAACTACCAAGGTGGGAACAACTATAATGTTATGGGGCAAACACATCTAGGTTTTTCGTGGAGTTCACCTAGTGGGAGTTTGAACTCATGGAAGCAAAATAATCCTCGACCCCAAGGTCAAGGACCACCAGGTTTTTAGAACCAGCAGAGACAGCAATAACAGCCACAACAGCCAAATCAGTCTAGCATGGAAGATCTCATGAAGGCATTCATCAACAAAACAAATGAAAAATTTGAGACTCATGGCACGACTATCCAGAATTTAGAAAGGCAAATGGGACAAATTGCAAATTTGTTATCTGAGAGGGCTCCTGAGACTCTTCCCTCTGACACTAAAAAGAACCCAAAAGACACAATCAAAGTTGTATCTCTGAAAAGTGGCAAAACATTGACTGATCCAGTGGTGAAAGCTAGACCCCAAGTGGTGAACAAGCAGACTGAGACACCGGAAGAGAAATAGAGTGAAGAGCATAAAGGCCAGAGTGGCAGGTACAAAAGGAGATTGAACAAAGTAGACATATGCCAGCTCTACCATTTCCTCAAAAGATAAAGCGAGAAAAACTTGACAAATGTTTTGGGAGGTTCTTGGATATGCTCAAGAAACTTTATATGAACATTCCCTTCACAGAGGCACTCACTCAAATGCCTACTTATGCAAAGTTCATGAAGGAAATCATGTCTAGCAAGAGAAAATTGGAAGAGACAACAATGGTCAAGCTGAATGCCCACTGCAGTGCCATATTGCAAAATAAAATTCCCCAAAAGTGTGGGGACCCAAGAAGCTTCACCATACCATGCTCGTTGGGGAGTGAGAAATTCGACAAGGCCCTCTGTGATTCAGGTGCGTCTATTAATCTAATGCCTCTATCTGTATTTAGGAAACTAGAAGGTGAGCTTGGAGTGATAAAATTGATACTAGTTTCCCTACAACTGGCTGACCAGACCACCATTTTGCCTGAGGGAATCATTGAGGATATTCTAGTACGGGTGGACAAGTTGGTGTTCCCCGTAGACTTTATTGTGGTGGATATGGAGGTGAACAAAGAGGTGCCTCTAATTCTAAGGAGGCTATTTTTAAGTACAGGTAGAGCTATCCTTGATATCTACGAGGGGCAACTTATGCTCAGAGTGGGCAATGAAAAAGTGGTATTCCAAATGAAGAGGATGATGAAATACCCCAGCAATGAGGCTGTCACGCCCCAAAACCGAGGAGTGCGACCGACGCTTAACCGAGTGAACCCGACCGAGCAAGCCTGTTAGATTCCTTCTACCCAAACTCATTCAT